TATTAGTGTACTCTTTCTTCATTGGCTAGGCATCTTCTTACTCTTCATAATCTATAGTATAAAGATAAAAGTCTAAGTGAGGCGAAAAATTCCTAAAATATGATTGGATGGACGAGTTTATTCCTTAAATATGATTGGCCGGACGGTTTTTTTTTTTTTAATTAGGGGTAAGACAGTAACTTTACAATTGGGCTTTTTTTTATTACCCCTTTTTTGTCAAAGCTTCTTTTTTTCAAAACGACGTCGTTTTAAGCTTTTTGCTCTTTTTAATTAAATTTTATTTTTTATGTTCCCCAGCATAAAACTATTTACAAGCCCCCATTGACGTTTCATACATGTAATTTAAATTGAAGAAAGCCCGATGCCAGATTCTGTGTTCTCCTCTTTCCTCTCTCATCCACCTCCTGCGCCATCTGAATTTGCTGCCGTCCATTCCGCGGATTCGCCGCTGTTTTCCGTTTTTGCACCCCCCTTCTCCAAATTTCTGCAATTATACCATCACAACTCCGCCGCGATGCACTCCTATCAATCCTCGCCCCGGATCTCCGCCCGTCGCCGGTATTGACCAATTACATCCTCCTGCCCTATCTTAGCCGAATAATGGATCAGATGAGAATGATTTATTCAGCCGAACAAAGGTTCTCAGTTTCATCTATGTCGTTTGTGTGTGTATGTTAGTGTTTTATTTTCTTTTCCAATTAATTGTTTAGCTGTGTATTTCCCTTTGTATAACAGGCTCCAATTGTGCTTTTTTGGTAATAAGAATGAAAGTTTTAGCTTTTCTTCCATGCATTAATTTCTTTGTTGGTGTTTTTCCGTGGGCATTATCCTGTTTTTCACATCTAAGTATCAACTACTATTAAATAATAGTAATCCCTCCGTCCCAAAATTATTGTCCAGTTTGAGATTTCACTTTTAGTACAATTTGAACAAAAAATGAAAATTCAAACTGGACAATAATTATGGGATGGAAGGAGTATATTTTAACATATTTCGTACTACGCATGGGAAAAAATCTAGTCATATAATATTCCTTTACAGATACATATCACGTCTTCTAACTAAATTTCATACGAGCTGGGTGGTTTTTTTGAAATCAGCAATACTACATACGATGAGTTATTTCAAACGAGCATATATTATACTGACCATACTTAAATTACTATTCAGTCCACATTCTAGTAGATTCTTCCAACTGAAGAACCAAGGTCCTCGTAATAGTGCCAAACTGAAGGTCTGATTTATTTTGTGTATGGTGTTGTTTTGCTTCGATTAAATATTAAAGTATATTATTCTTTTGTAATTAAAAAATACACGTGAATTTTAATTGCACTTTAAAGTTCAATAGTGAAAGACTATATTTTATCTCAGTGACTGTTTCAACATCTACCAACGCGACGATAATGCAGCGGTCAAATTCGGGAAAATTGAGATGGTTACATTACATACTTAAGCTATCAACCATATGTCTACTACAGTCCTTGCTTATGTCCCTACTCTTGAAAATTGAGATAAGTATATATGTCATTGCTTAAATTGAGATAGTTATTTCGGATGATGGGAATTAAAGGGAGGATGATGAAGGATGGTAAAGCTTTTTTAGCCTGGAGTCGCTATTTAAAAGGGACTATGTTTGTCAGCAGATGAATTCCATTTAGAATTGGGATTTTGAATTGGAATATCCGCGAATTAGAAAGGGAAATTCTAATTTACGTACAAAAAAATTGATGAAATTACTAATGCCGCCACAGAAGTATTCTCAGTCATAATTTTGGACCACTACAAATTTTGGATCAAATGGATCCTTGGAATTATTGATCGAGACTTTACATGTCTGCCTCTAATTCATACTTTGGCGCAATACAGAAAATTTCCTACATGTGTGCCAGAGTGTATTTGATTTTCGACATGAACAAATCAATGTACAAGCGATAAGTGAAACAAACCATACGTAAACACAAAATCACAAAATGATCGTCCAAATTATTGTCATGATTACGTACTCTTCCTTCTTTTTTTTTTTTTAACAAAAAAAGAATAAAAATGATTCTCATAATCTCAGCTCGCCTTACGTAAAGCAAATGGAAACAGGTTTTCTTTCTAAAAAGCACGCGATCAGTACACAAATCATGATTCGCTGAAGGGTCAAATAGCCAAAAATGCAGTGTATTTCTATTTGATTTGATTACATATCATTATTAATCGGAAAAAAAAAGCATTCAAAAAGTAGGGAATAAACTTCAAACTTCAGCAACGATATGAAAAGCTTTCATATATATTCAATCCTTTTCACCAAATCCCTATTGAATCTTTCAGCCCAGAATCTTCAAGATTTTCGATTCCATACAGGAAAATATGTTAATATGTGGAAGATTAGTCTTTCTTCGTTTTCTTCCTTGCTCATTTTATTCTTTTGGAAAAAATAATCAGAGTGGAAGAAATTGTATTTTCTGGCTTTTGCATGCATGGTGGCAGACGATTCGTATGGTGAGTTGACTGCAAAAAGAAGGTCTTGATAATGATTATAACTAATATACAGCATATATAACAAATAAAAACGTGAAGATTCTAAGATTTTTGAAAGTATACACATCACTTTTTTTATAAGCCTAATTTGTTCGTAGTCTACACGAGTCCAAGGTACCTTTTTGTAACTTCCTTTTGGTAATTATGGGAAATACAGGATCGTCGGCTAATTAATTTAGTCAATCATAAAAAATTATGGCAATTTACTAACTAATTTTCACATATATCAAAATTGTGATCGAATGACTTGGATTAGTGAGTCCGTGACGGTCACAATCTCAGAATGTCTCTCAACTTGAATGTACGATTCAAAATCGATTAACAACGGAAAGAACACTAGCATATATTATTGTACCGGATACAAAGTTACAAACAAAAAACAAAGTTCACAGATATTATTTATATTTGAACAAATCACAAGGAAACGAGGAAATATAAAGTGCCAAGTTATAAGCAAGGACATCGGGTCTCTTATTATTACACTCTTTATCCCGAAATTATTCTTCAGAATAAGTTTTTATTTTATTTTTAATATAAATTGAACTAACAATAAAAATCCTAACCAAAGAGTAATTTGAGCACATAATGTGAGGCCCCAAATTTTGAGGCCTCTACAAAAAGAAAATAATTAATTTGCCTTGAGATGATTATTGAATACTATAAATTATGTAAAGAACAAATAAAAGTTTAGGGATATAAATGTTATTAGACTTAACTGAAAATATCTAAAATGAATATGGACATAAATTTATAATTATAGAATTTGAGGTATTAGTTATGAAAATGTGAAAACTTGATAATTATCTAATTGAGTTGGAAAAATAATAATCAAGTGTATGGGACTTATTTGGAAAGATTTAAAATTGATGGAGGCAATAACTAATAATTATAGAATATAAAGGGTAGTTACGAGAAGGTAAGACTTTAGAAAATATCTAATTTAATAAAATAAACCAAAAAGAAAATAAAAGAATGGATAAATCCTACACTAATACCCCGTTAGAAACTTACACGTATTTACCCACCCCCTCCCCATCACCCAGTACCCCCAATACCCTTACCCAGCACCCTACACAATTACCTCTAACCCCATATACGTGACCTCCAAGCTATCACACCTTTCTTTGCTCCAATATACTCTCTACACGTACCCCTCCGTAGTCCCTGTGCATATACAACACAATAACAATCCCCCAACACCCCATTACCTACCACCACAACACCGCTATAAATACTGCCCTTTCCTCACAAGTCCGACATACAAACATCCCCCTCATCACACACACATATCATCGCCTCACCTCTGTAAACACACGCACTAACCCACTACCCAGCATATACACATATACATACTTATACTATATATCCATTTTTCCAGACCATAACCATTTATAGTATAAATTAATAATAGGCAATATATGCCAAGATTTTAGCCAAATACAAGCATAAGAGTTCTCATGCAAAGCGCAAGAATTCACCTTTATTTCAGTGATTATTTTTGACATAGATGTTTGAAGTGAGTGTTCTCATTAGAATGTAAATATTGCGTGATTTTATATGATTTATTATTTGTGATCGGGCTGTACTTTATCACTCCAAAAAGTGTTAAATTGAATGTATTGAGTGTTACTCGTGCAAAATGACTCCATTGAATGTGTGTGTGATCGAGTGAAATGGATCCACGAGCCTTTTAGTGAATCGAACCCAGTGGGTCAGCATTGGACTTGATCGTCGGTTAGAGGAACTAGAAGGTTATGAACGGTAATCTAAGATCTACTGTAGTGATTGGTACCAAAATAGTGTTAGGGCGTCGTTGACAAAATATACAAGTGATCGCTCGATTGGTAAGTGAAACTGAGATCAGTATTTCGAGTGTAATCAGAAATCCATTTCAATTTGTCCAGTCATATTGACTCGGAGTGGATTTCTTTTGCACTCTCCGTATCCTTTATCTATGTGTGACCTCTATGATTTATTCGTTATGCTCATTATGTGACTAGGATTTTTATATGTGATTGTCTGTTTATTGTATTAATGTTTTAATGAGACATCATTGGGCTTTAGCTCATTCGTTTAATTTTGTTTTCCTTACAATCAATGAAGACCACAAAATAAGAGTCAAAAATTTAATTGTGCAATAAAAGCACTCGTCAGAGTTGGAACTGTCACAGTGTAATGTTCTGAAATTACTCCCAATTTTAGAAAAAAAAATGTACTAGTTAGGCCAAATTTTTATGTATTAAATAAAATATCAAAATAATTTATATCACTTAATTGTTTATGACTACCGAACGACTGTTATTGAGTCCGAACACGATTTCTTCACTGTCAACGGGAGGAGCTTGCTTTCGGAGCGATACGCATGAGTATCATTTTTTGATATGCTAGCAAAATCCATCTTGTCTCTTAGTTAGTGCCGGACAAGGCCGCCATCAAGGGCACAAAAATATCACCATCTATAGAATGGGGGTTAACTAGGTTTCAGCCAAGAGGTTGATGAGTACTTGGAAGTGAGATTCTTCACAAGGGAGCACAATTTTACTAGTTTTATGATGACCATATTCTTCAACAGCCTTAACAAGCAACTCTTTGAAAGAGGGCCTCTTCAAGAAAGATGTTGGAATGACAAACCTACTCATATTGCTTCCCACGTACACAACAAAATGCCCTTTTGGTGCGGTTTTGCAAGGTTCAGCTGCTGCCTCTATTTTCTTGGCATCTTTATAACTGCAAAAAGGTGCTGAAAAATTATCAGAAGGATGACAAAGAGTAGTTGTGATGGAAGAGATAAAAAGGAGTGGACAACTGAGAAGGAATGACATGACATCCGGTATATATATACTTGCACAGAGTTTGGAAGGGAGTGCGCCTCTTCTAGATGAAAGAACAAAAATAAAATATTCTCTCCATCGTGAAATGATTGTTCATTTAGAATTTTACTTTTAGTACAAATTGTAGTAAAGATAAAAATATGAATTGAATAATAATTTTAGTATAAATAGAGTACCTTCTACACATTCCTCCTCATACATGATTTATATTTACATTCAAAATATGGCTAATCATTCTGCCTTAATCATTATTTTATTTTATGCAGGATATTAGAAGTTATATACTCTCTCAGTCCAAAAATAGCTATCTAGTTTGGATTTTTCATTTTTACTATAATTTGAAATAAAAATAAAAATTCAAACTGAATACTCATTTCAGGATGGAGGGAGTATATACTCAAAATAATTCTCATTTACCGGAAATATAAAAATTTTGTAACAACTATTTGATTCAAGTGATAAGGAGCACCATATATCTTCTTCTTAAACACGTTTGGGGTTCAAACTTGTGTGAGTTAGAATAGGGGAATTGTATTTCATTCATGTGTCGTTATGTACAATATACAGACTATATATAGACAATAACAAATCCTAAACAAGGACACTATAGTAAATATATTAAGTATTACAATACGCCCCCTCAAACTGACGGCGGAGAAGAGAGAAGCCGAAGTTTGTCACGGAATCGAAAGAATAACTCCTTGGACAAGGGTTTGGTCAGAATATCAGCAAGATGATCAGCAGTAGAGACAGATTTGACTGAAACAAACTTTTGCCGAACATGATCTCGAACAAAGTGAAAATCAACCTCAACATGTCTGGTACGAGCATGAAACACGGGATTGGCAGCAAGGAAAACTGCACTATTGTTGTTACACCAAATAGAGGGAGGGCGATGTAATGAAACTCCTAACTCGGACAACAGATGACACACCCAATGCAGTTCAACACAGACATTAGCAACTGCACGAAACTCAGCCTCAGTAGACGAGCGAGCCACAGTGGGTTACTTCCAAGATGCCCAGGCAATGAGATTAGGTCCCGAATAAATGAGAAAACCAGTAGTAGAACAACGATCATCCGGACAACCAGCCCAGTCAGCATCACTAAAGGCAGTAAGAGTGCCCAAATCGGTAGGATGCAGAACTAAACAGAAATCAACGGTGCCACGAAGATAGCGAAGAACCTGGTTGAGAGCTTGAAAATGAGAAGTGCGAGGCTGATGCATGAACTGATAAAGCTTATTAACCGCAAAGGAGATATCTGGACAAGTGAGAGTGGTATACTGCAGACTGTCACAAAGCCGGCGATAAGTAGTCACATCATCAGGAGACAATGGAGTACCATCCAAATGGGACAACACAACATTAGCCTGCAGAGGAGTGGAAATAGGTTTGCAAGTTTGCATATTTACAAGTCGTAGTAAATCAGTGACATACTTGCTCTGAGAGAGAAGCAAACCCTTGGAAGTATGACGAACCTCGACCCCAAGAAAGTAACTCAATGGACCTAAATCCCGAAGAGAAAACTCCTTAGCAAGACAAGAGATAAAATGCTGGACCAAACCAGAAGTGCTGCCTGTAAGAATAATGTCATCCACATAGACCAGCAGAAAACACAACTGAGACCCACGGCGATAGACAAAGAGGGAAGGATAACAACGAGACTCCACAAAACCCAAGGTGATCAGAAACGCAGCCAACCGAGAATATCAGGCCCGATGAGCTTGCTTAAGACCATATAAGGACTTCTGCAGTTTGCACACATAATGAGGGCGCACCGGATCAACAAAACCCTGTGGCTGAACCATATACACAGTCTCACTCAAAACACCATTAAGAAAGGCATTACTGACATCAAGCTGAGAAATCGACCATCCACGAGCCAAGGCAACTGTCAAAACCGAACAAATAGTGACCAGCTTAACAACCGGACTAAATGTGTCAATGTAATCAATCCCAAAAGACTAAGTAAAACCTCGAGCCACCAACCGAGCCTTATAACGCTCAATGGAGCCATCAGCATGGGTCTTAATCTTATAGAGCCATCGATTACCGACAACATTGCCGGAGGAAGGAGGGGGAACTAAAGTCCATGTGTTATTTTTGAGGAGGGTGGAAATTTCATCCTTCATGGCATTCTGCTACTGAGGAAAAGATTTGGCTTGGGTGAAGATGTAGGAGCAGTAGACAAATCTGGGGAAACAGAGGTAAGATGAGCCGAGGGATCAAAGATTTTCTTGGGCTTGGGGTTTGGACGAAGGGTCATTGAATGCGGACGGGAAGGAGGAGGTGGAGGTGGCGGAGGAGAACTGGACTCAGATTATGAAGAACTGGATGCAGGAGAACTATCTAAAGATGCTGATGAGTCGGGAGAGATGGGAGGAGACGAAGGAACTGGTGTACGAGGAGGAGACAAAGAGGGCACAAAAGACGAAGCAAGCATACTAGGAGAACTGGTTACACGCAACCAAGGGGTAGCAGGAGACTCCGGCAGCGAAGAAGGAGAACTAGAAATAGGACGTTTAAAGGGAAAGAGTTTCTCATCAAACTCAACATGACGAGCAACATAAAGACAGTTATTCACCACATCAAAACAGCGATAACCAAGATGAGAAGGAGAATACCCAAGAAAGACACACTGAGTAGAACGAAAAGAGAATTTATGTCGATTATAAGGGCGAAGAAGAGGATAGACAGCACAGCCAAAAACACGAAGAAAGGTATAATCAGGTGGCTGGTGATATAGTGTAGTGAAGGGTAGGTGACCTTGAAGAGGTTTACTAGGCTGGCGATTAATAAAAAATATAGCGGTTTCAAAAGCAAAGTCCCAAAACTGAAAAGGAGTACTAGAATGGCCAAGGAGAGCAAGTCCAATGTCGACAATGTGACGAATTTTGCGTTCAGCAGTGCCATTCTGCTCATGAGTGTGTGGGCACGCTAAACGATGAACAATACCGACATCCTTAAAGAAAGAATTGAGAGAACAAAATTCACTACCCCAATCAGAGTTAACACTTTTAATGGTAGTGCCAAATTGATTTTCCATGAGAGCTTTGAATTGCTTGAAAACATGAAAAACATCACTTTTATACTTAATGAGATAAATCCATGTGAATAAAGAAAAATCATCAATAAAAAGCACAAAGTAGCGATAACCATTAAATGACAAAATAGGAGCAGGGCCCCAAACATCAGTGTAAATTAAATCAAGAGGTTTAGAGTTACGACGAAAAGTAGAAGGTAAACTAACCCAATGCAACTTCCCTAAATAACACGCCTCACATTTATTAGTGGACATGGAAACAGAGGAATGAGGGAGTTGAAACTGCCTAACCAAAGTACGAAGAGTGACATTATTAGGGTGCCCAAAACGAGCATGCCATTGACCTAGAGAGACATGATAAGCTGCTTGAGACAAGGAACCACGAGCAGGAAGATCTAAGCGATAGAGACCAAGATCAGCTCGACCACGGAGGAGGAGTTCCTTGGTTGAAAGATCCTTAACACAACAAGATTCAGAATAAAATTCAAAGAAACAGTTATTATCACGGGTAAACTTTTGAACAGATAACAGAGGCTTAGTAAGAGAAGGAGCATGCAGAACACGATTTAAATAAAGAGGACGAGAAAATGATGGCAAAACAGATTGACCAACATGCTGAATAGGTAAAGCATCACTATTACCAACTAAAATATGATTCGTATTATTATAATCATTGGAGATACTGTGAGAGGACAAATCTGGTGTGGCATGATCGGTAGCACCAGTGTCCGGATGCCAAGGAGTGACAGGAGGGGCATACTGCGCCATATGAGCTTGAGGAGACATAGTCGACTCCGGGTAAGACGGAGGAGGCAACAAACCAGCCGAATGCTGTGTAAGAGAAACTGCCTGGGCATAAGCAGCCGACCGAATGGCAGGGGGTCGAGGAACAAAATTAGCATCAAAGCGGCGTCGGCAAGTGGCGGCCGTGTGATTCAAGATGCCGCAAAGCTGACACGTCTCACCACCACGACCAGAAAACTGATTGCGCCGACCGCCGCGTTGCGAGCGACCGGCACGAGAGGATTGAGGCGGCGTAGGAGAAGATGTCAACTGCACAAGCATGGCCGTCGGCTGAAGAACCGGCTGTTGGGCGTGAAGAAGCACCTCGTACGAAACTAATTGTCCAAGAAGATCTTGATAGGAGGGGGTTTCGGATCGCTGCTGCAAAGCACCGATGATACCATTAAATTCGGAACCGATCTTGCGAAAGATTATGGCATTGAACTCCACTGGAGATATGCGATGGCCGGCAAGCTGCAGCGTATCTGCGATACCCTTCGCTTTGGAGACGAGAGCCATGACCGATAAGTCATCTTTTTACAAGCTGTGGAGCTCCATAACAAGCTGGGTCTGTTGAGCATAAGAAAGAGTGCCGAAACCTTGTTGAAGAGCTGTCCATGCTGCCGCCGACGTTGTGCAGTCCTGGAGAACGGGAAAGATCTCTTCAGCAACGGAAGAAAGAATCCAAGAGAGGACCAACTAATCTTTTTGCTGCCAGATATCAAACTCAGGATTGAGTTGGGGCGCGACACCACTGACAGAAAGAAGAAAACGTGGCAGTGCAGGTTCGGTGCCGTCGACAATACCGGCAACACGAAACATAGTCAATAGAGGAGTAAACTAAAGACACCAAGATGAATAGTTGGCCCGAGATTGCAGCTTCACAGTAAAAGAATGATTGAGAGACTGTAGACTAGGTTGAAGAAGTGATACCGGTGTCTGTGAAGGAGGTGTCGTCGGCCGAAAATGGGTAGCCTGGTCGGTGGATGAAAGGTCGGTGATAGTCATCTTCGGAAGTAAGCAAGCAGCAGCACAAAACGACTACTCAACACTTAAGCAAATAGTACGCAAAGAAGGTGAAGGCGCTATAGCAATAGGTGAAGGAAAGGCTTCGGCCCTGACGGAACGGGAGAGCAAAGAAGATGCCAGCCGAGAAAGAAAATGAAGGAATTTTTTTTTTATATTTGATTTTGAGACCTGGATGATGGAGAAAAGAGAGGAAAAGGGACAGTAGGGAAGATCAGCAGCGACGGCGGGTGGGAAAGAAAAGGATGACAGACCGATGAGAGGAAGAAAGAAAGAATTGGTTGTTTTTTTTTTTTTTTTTGTCGTGGGTTTTTGTTGGGGGATTAATTGAAAGTTGGCCAAGAGGAAAGGAGAGAAGATGCGGCGGCACCGAGAAGAAGGGAGAAGGTGCAGCGGAGGAGAAGAAAGAAAGAAGGATCGGCGGCGGTGATGGAAAGGAAAGAGGAGGCCAACAACCGAAGAAAGAAAAGGAGAAGAAAAAAAAAAAGGTTTTCCTAACCCGCTCGATACCAAGTTAGAATAGGAGAATTGTATTTCATTCATGTGTCGTTATGTACAATATACAGACTATATATAGACAATAACAAACCCTAAACAAGGACAATATAATAAATATATTAAGTATTACAATAGTGTGTGAGCAGGTAATGAATAGGAGATTTTGTCGACATCTCGGTCCACCAGAATCAAAATGTATTCGAATCATGTGGTACGTGCCTGCTTAAGCCACCTCATAATTAATTTTTGTATTAGAAATAAACTAATTAAATGCAATAATCAATACATGAAAATCTGATTTCCCTCGTTTGAAAATCAACATCCATCAACACCAGCGCAAAATTACGTTTGCATTCCGGTCAAATTCGGAAAACCAAAAACCATGTGTATGATTGCATGCTATAGGGAGGAGTACGTGATGAGTTAACCTGCTCGATATGAAAAGAACATTTTATCCCGTCTGCTTAGGTCATTGGGAATCATGATTCATGATCATGGATATCACTTATCAGTCATAATATGTTTATATAATAGTATTTCAATGTCATGAATCATGATCTCATACCCTTTGCTGACGTTAATCACGACTCCTTAAACTTGAAGTAGATATAGGGAATCGCCAAAATTTCGATTAGTTGCATGCTTCATGCATGCTTGCTTATACATCTGTCACTATAGCATATTGGCCATTCACACGGGGAGACCTTCATCTTGATGATCTTCAGGTTAATTAATTAATCTTGGTTTTAAGATTTTCACAACAAATTAACTGCTGAAATTTGAATTTATATGAATAAATTATCTTGATATGGGCACGGATTAATAAAATCAAATTACTTGTCACACCTTACGAGTTTATCCCTGCAAAGAAGTTAGTCAAGTTACCCGACTTGAATTGTCATCGGTTTGACTGTGGTACGCGGGTCAATTTGAAAATTTTATTGGTTCTGGTAAGAGCATGATTTTATTGGGATAGTATTTTTCTGAAATGTGCTTGTATAATTTTTAAGCTCTTGTCTCCTTCATTGTCCCGAATTTTTTTTTTTTATTGGTTCATGTACCAATAAGTAATGACAATAATGTGTAACACAAGGTTTCTATGCATTAGTAATATTTTTGTTTTTTTTTGTTTTCTTTTTGTTTTGTTTTTTTTTTTTGGAATACAAGAACCATGAGTAGTCTTACTAGATACTGTAGACTTCTTTTGGGGCAAATGTCCCGGAAAAGTTATTCGTTCACTCATAAATTTGAAGCTCTGAGATCTACTAGGAGGGAAACTCTTCAACAATTGTTAAAACAAATTTTTTTTTTTTTTTTGGTTATGCATAAATGAAGGATAATTATTTGTTGAAATTGGGTTAAAACTAAAACTCATTGCTTATAATCGGGCAAAGTTCATGCAACTACGATAATGTATACAAAGAGAATACGTATTCAAGTAAGTTTATTTTTTGCACTCCAGGAACAATACAAAAACATTACTACAAGTTTTTTGGTTTTTCAAAAACTAGTAATTAAATGAGCAAAAGTATATTAGAAATTAGGGTATGCATATTATTGTCAAAAAGTTAGTCTCTTCTTCTTGATAATTCCTTTCTTAAGGTCTCTTCAAGTTATCCTTCATCCTCCTCTCTCCAAATAATGGAGACACCTTAAATGTAGTGGGTGTTCCTTTTCTAATTCTTCCTGATTAACCATCTAAATCCGTCACTATATCGTTCTAATTCTCTTTTACCAATAATAATAATAATAATAATAATAATAATAATAATACTCCCTCCGTCCCATAATTATTGTCCACTTTGCCCAAAAAATTTTGTCCCAAAATTATTGTCCAATTTGACTTTTTATGGATCAAGTTACACATTTGTCCTTAGTAAAAAACATTATCCATAAAATCTTAGTGGTTAAACAATTACTTATATAGGGGTATATCCGGTTGTTTAAGGTAAAATATAGTTAAGTTTGACCAAAAATAAAATATTTTATTTTAGTAAAACTGGACAATAATTATGGGACGGAGGGAGTAATAATTATAATCAGGCATTAATTAGTCTGGAGTATCCCGAATTTTGATGATCCGCCTGTAGAAGTTATAGCAAAATAACTAAAGCACGAGCTACTTGATGTTCAAATTAGTCTTTCATTTTCGATTTCTCGTTTCAACTGTTGATAAACAAAATACTGAGTCAAAATCGGATCAATTGTTCCAAATTCAGCTGCAGGTCGATCAAGCCCACCAAACTAACCTTTTGAAGATTCAACTTTCGCACGTTTTCTGTTAAGCTATACATTAAATGGGTTGTTTAGTCAAGAATAATGTCAACACTTTTAATCCTTTTTTTAATTATTTTTTCCGGTTTACAGCATGTAAATTATAATTACAGAAGGCGAATAATTATTGGAGCGAAGAAATAAAGAATTAATTTGTTTTAGGTCTCTAGTTTGAGATCTTGTGTATGGACATAAAACTGTGCATGAAAAATGCAGAGAGCAGGGCCGACCCAGAGGAGTGTGTAATGTACCGGAAGTTTATCGACTTAATCGGAGGGATTTGATCGGAATTTACATAAGGACGGCGGCTGGACTAGGGGTTCGAAAACACCCCCGAAGGAAAAACAACATTTCAATTCAATTCTTCATCTTTTTCATAATTGATTTCAGACCCTGCAAAGACTATATATAGTCTTAGAGTTTTCGGATTTATAAATTGACCCCTAGTCTATTAATTTAAGTCAAATGAATCCACGATTCATGACAAACCCCCTTCCTAAAATCAGTGTTGTCCTCAAGACTGACATTTCAGAAAATACTACTCAACTAAACAGCACTTGGCACAAAGGCCATTCTAGCTAATAACTGAAAACAGAAACTGCAAAAGAAAACAGCAACATAACCAAATTGAAAATCTACATGAAAATTGGCAGAACAGCTAGAATATCTTCAATGTTGCACCTTCCCTGTGAAGAATTTTTGCTAATCAATCTTCCAAATGAAATTTGATTTTTCCATTGATGTAATATGCTTCCTATGACTTTCAAAAGTCAGGATACCACCATTGAAACATGTAGACGTCTGAATCCATTTCTCTATTTCCAACAACATGGTTCCTCCCCTAAAACCAGTTACCATCTCAACCCAAACTTTAAACCACAGCTGATTCACAGGCAGACGAGACACTCTACCAGCTTCAACAGGATTCTCATCCAACAAGTTCAACCGAATGCCAGTGATAAAATTAACAGCAATACTATCAACAATTACATCCAAACAACATTCAGTGCCCCCTCTAAAACCAGTTGCCCCTTTAACCCAGGGTTTTCCCGAACTGAGTTTTTCAAACAGAATAGGCACCTTAACATCAACAGGCTGCACTCTGTCTTTGCTTCCATCAGCAAATATGGAGTCAAAGTAAAAAAATGTCTTTGGTTATACCAGGATCAAATACACTGAAGCTTAGACAACTACCCTTAACAAAAGGACATTGCACATTCATCCCGCCTTCAACATTGGAAAACATAGGCTCACTGCCATCTTGGCATTTGAATTCCCAATTTCCACCCGGATTGGGCAACCAACATTTATATTAGTGGAAGAATTCACAAACGACTCTAACACAGCCTCAACACCAAATAACAAACTGAGATTTAAATTAGACTTGACTGTATTTCCACCAAAAACTGCCCTTTTATCCTCATGACATTTTTCAGTTCCACCAGTAACAAAAAATGCACCTACAGGATTACCATTGTTACTAATTTCACTAGCATTTTTATCAACTGCATCCAAATGTTCATAAACAAATGCTGAATTTTTTCAAAAACTATTCTGATCATCAAGGGGCAGCAATTCATCAGAAATCACACTATCAAAATTCTTTCCCACCCTAACAACATCAATCAGAGACATCTCATCACCAGGCTCTTCAATAATACCCACTAAACTCACAGAATCAGCATCCAACTTGGAATGAACATCATCAAAACCAATTTCGGGACTCACAACCTCAGAGAAAGAGTTACCTAGTTCAGGGTCAGAATCACAAGCATCCCATACATATACCACGGTGGTTTGCCCGATGAATTGGCCAAATCGAAGCTCCAATCGTTCCAGCAAGTCCTCCCAGGAGTGTAAAAGTGAGATTGCTGCCAATCCATACAAAAATTGGAGAGCCTCGCCTGACATGTAGAATGAAGATAGGAATATCTTCCTCTCGGATGGGATGCAATTGTTGGCGAACAACCCTTCAATTCGGTTAAGCCACGAAGCAAAATTTTTTACGGCGAAAAGAGGAACTCTGGTTGGCGAGGGTTCTAGAAGTCCATACGGAATCAGACTTGGGGGAAAAACTTCGGACGGATGCCATTTCAACATTTCATAGCCCAGGGCTTGGAGTTCCATGGCGGAGCAGCTTAACAATTCTGATGAAGGGCTGGAAAATAGAACCGATTTCGGAGTCGAAAACGAAGAAGATGAAGAAGGGAAATCAATTCCAGAACCAAGGATCCAAGAAATGATTCAAAGTGAAGCGAACGAAGGAGAAGGCGGATTCCAGAAACGAATTCGATTTAAAAATGGAAGAGGAAGAAGAACGAAGAACAGCGGAAGAAAACAGTTAAATCAAAGTCAATTGGAGCAGAAGAATAAAAAATCTGAACTAAAACGCGGAGGAAGGAACGGCTCTGGATACCAAATGTAATGCACCGGAAGTTTATCAACTTAATCGGAGGGATTTGATCAGAATTTACAGAAGGACGGTGGCTGGATTAGGGTTTCGAAAACACCCCCGAAGGGAAAACAACATTTCAATTCAATTCTTCATCTTTTTCATAATTGATTTCAGACCCTGCAAAGACTATATATAGTCTTAGAGTTTCTGGATTTACAAATGGACCCCTAGTCTATTAATTTAAGTCAAATGAATCCATGATTCATGACAGGGTGCAAACGGTGCTTTGCACCAGGACCCCAAGAAAAAAAGATCCATAAATTTTAAGGTTAAGGTTATTTGATACATAGGCTTAAATTTTATTTTAATCCAAATACAAAATGTATGAACTAAAAACTTAATTTATATCAAAAGTATAATGGGCTTTAAGTCATTAATAAGTTTTAGACTCAATTTAATCAAATTCTTTAAATCTATATTTAAAAAATAGACTATATTTAATTTCTTAGGGCACATTTTAATTTTTTGCACTAGGGCCCCTTAAATGTTTGGTCCGGGCCTGGGAAAGAGTATCGAATTTAAATGAAGATTACTTCGAGAACATACATATTAATTATGTATGTATAATGTATGCTATTTTTTTTTCTTTTTGGTAAAATAGAAATGTGTATATATATATATATATATATATATATAACTACTTCGCTGTCAAGTTACCTATACAAATTCTTCTTCTATTTCTGTTACATGCACGTTTTTTCTTTTTTTTTTTCAAAATTAAGGCTAATGTCTAGTTGCTTCAAGAATCGTATATCATCATTACTACTCTTCTGACAATGATATTGCACCTTCCATTTTACCTCCTGTTTGATTTTCTTAACCCTAACTTTTGCTGGTACTTCTTTATCACCAAACTTCCGATTTCTTTCCATAAATCTGATGTACATAGACATTTATACAGGCAAATAGTACTTGTTGCTTCACCGATTTGAACCTCCAAATCCTTAGTAGTCTCAAGTCTATTTGTGTTTAATCCTTCAATATCACGAATTAGTCCCAACCATATTTTGATTTCCTTCATTACTTGTTTTGCATAATCACACTTGAAGAAAAGGTGGTTGACATTCTCATCTTTTTCCTTACAAAGTACACAGGTCAGAATTGCAATTTGCATTTTTGCTAACCTATCTGTAGTTAGCAACCTGTCTTTCCAAACAAGCCAACTGATGAAGCTTTGCTTCGGTATATGCTGAATTTGCTCCAGATGATTTTTGCTTCTTTGCATTTGGCCTTAACCAATTATATCCACCTTGTGTAGTGTATGGTTTCCCTCCATTTCCTGTTCACTTGTCATTTTGTATTCCATTCTTAAATAATTCTTTCATCTTCGTTAACTTCTTCCAATGCCAAGACAATCTTCTGGTGGTTTGTATTCCCAGAATCTCTTCCCATTTATACAGTGTATATGCACCTATTTAACCCATGGATTCTCCTTCTTTCTTGCTATACCAAAATGATTATCCAATTTTAATTTTTGTATTAAATATAAAAATTTAAATTAGACAATCATTTTAGGACGGAGCAAGTATATTGTTTACAGCAAATGAAAACTGGTTAGCTCTTTCCAAAAGCACGTAACACAAAACATCATTTCCTCAATGGCCAATTAGCCAAAATGCAGTCGAACACACTTGGTGCTTTCCAATTTTAACAACCTTCCATTCGTCTTCAAAAAATATGGGCAAAAACGCTGTGTATTTATTGGATTTGGTTAGATGTAATTATTACACCGGGAAAAAACAATTCAAACAGTAGGGAATAAATTTCAACTTCAGCTACCGTCATGAGAACTTCATATAGAAATACAATCTTTTTCACCAAAACCATGTTGAATCTTCCAGACCAGAATCTTCAAGATTTTCGACTGCCATACAGGAAAAGGTGCTAATGGGAAGATTCATATTGTCTTTCTTCTTCTTCTTCTTTTTCTTCTTTAATTATATAAAAAAAAGAAGAAGAAGAAGAAGAAAGAATCGGAGTGGACTATACTGTATTTTCTGGCTTCTGTATGCAGATTGGGATAATGTTTATTCGTACATTGACCGGAGAAAGGTCATATCATGATTATAATATATATAGCACACATGACAAACGAAAAAGCGAGAGATTCTTAATTAGTTTTTGAAAGTGTACATCACTTTATGTTTACTTTTTATTTTTATTGTTTTTATTATTATTATTAATTATTTTACATATTTGCAGGATGTCCACCATCGGCAATAATGACTGATCCCACTCGGTGAATTGTAGGCACCTCAATGGGTGAGATAGTTAGCCAAAGGGTTCATCGCTTTGTTTTTGGTAATGAGAAATTTTGTAACGCGATAACTAAATGGTTCACTCATTCGTTTAGAAACTAAAACAACTTTCCACAGAATTGAAAATCAATTGTATGATTCAGTCACTTTGAACATTTACAGCGCCATTCAGTCACGATACAACAAAATTTCTCTATGCATGAATGATTCAAATTCGATGATCAACAGAAAAGAACACACCTATATTAAAAAGTCATAAAAACTAATTAGGGACGACCATTATGCTAGTGAGTAAGCCGAAACAACTCGCAAGGCAGATTAATGCTTAATAAATAAACATGGCTGTGTAGACGTAGTTTGATGGCCATTTCGTTAGTTACGCTGACGAGTATGAATCTATGCAGGGGATTTTCTTCCAAACTTTGATCTTTGTGCATTCTTAATTTCGAAGAACATGCTGACACTAGCAAAGTTGAACGTTTTAAGGGTATCCTTTGTGTCTTAGGCACAAATTTGCAAGAATTTTGGTGGTAATATTTTCTTAAGGACACTGACTAAGTACACGAGTAGAACATTTTCTCCAGTTGTTTAATTTCCTCTTGTTAGTTAAATTGTGTTTCTTTTGTTTTGTTTTGTTTTTTTTCCCTTCTGAAATTTCATGCAATAAAATTCTTCATACAATTTTTTTTTCTTTTTTTGGGTACAAAGAAAGAGGCTAAAATCTCTAGTTATAAGAGATAATGACATTTTGTGGATAAGAAACACTAATCAGATCATGTTCCAACCACTGTCGGACTTCAACTGAAGGAACAAACATTCTAATCTTAAGGCTACTTAAAAAACAAGAACAAGGTAATATGCTGGAACAGTGTAAACATTCCAATCTTGACGCTGCTTAGAAGACAAGAACTAGGTTACATACATTACTAATTACAGTTGACAACTTCTCAATGAACAAGGTTATATATATAGCCAGGACATCCAGGATCTCTTCTTCTTTAGCTAGCGAAATCCATCTCTTGTCTCTTAGCTACATTGTCTTAAAATGATTGCCTTGTTTGGATTTTTTTATTTCTAGTATAATTTGAACTAAAAATAAAAATTCAAATTGGAAAATCACTTCAAGACTGATAGAATATCATTTTTCATACAGATTGCGTTTTACAAGTTCCTATATCTTATGTGCATGGATTTGTGACATTGAGGTCTCGAATTTCAAAGTATTTTTATAAAGCAGGTGTGGTGGGTGGAAGAAAAAATCGAACTAGATGAGGGCGATGAGTGCTTGGAAGTGAGATTCTTCACAAGGGAGCACAATTTTACCAGACTCATGATAACCATATTCTTCAGCAGCCTTATCAAGCAACTGTTGGAAAGAGGGTTTCTTCAAGAAAGATGTTGGAATGACAAACCTACTCATATTGCTTCCCACATACACAACAAAGTGCCCTTTTGGTGCTGTTTTGCAAGGTTCAGCAGCTGCCTCAATCTTCTTAGCCATTTTATATTACTGCAAAAAGTGATGATGATGATGATCAAAAAGATGGCAGAGATTGATTGACCAGCTGAGAAGATGGGTCGAAGAGATAAAAAGGAGTGGAGTCTTGAGAAGAGATGGCATGCCATCAACTGTATATATACACTTGTCTCGAGTTTGGAAAAGTGTGCCTTCTCTTCTAGATGAAAGGGGGAAAAAACAAACTAAGGAAATTTCTCTAACAAAACATTTTTAGACTTTCTACATTCACATTTAGATTCAATAAGACAAATTTATTTATTTATTTTCTTTATAGAAATCATTTTGTAATTCTAACCAGGGATACACAAACACACACACACACTCATACACAAATATATATATATATATATATCACTACAACAAAAATGGGTTATTAATACTTTTATGGTGGACCACTTTTCTTAAAATGTGTCTTATTATATGTGTATTAAGACATTTGCTAAAAAGTATCTTATTGAAAATGAAAAAGTGTATTCATATTATGAAACACTATCATAAGTGTACTATTTGGGGTTGCTTGTGAATTATTACCTTACTTAATGGGTCACTTTAAAGTGTGTTAATGAATGATAATCTAATAATACACTTTCAAATGTTTTATGACTTATTGTGACTCGATTATAGAAGACACTATTTAGTAGTGACCCACGCAATTTGAGTTACATGTGTCCTATTATACCACTTATTGAGACACAAAAAAGTGTCTAAACTACTCATTTTTGTTGTAATATATATATATATATATATATATTATTCAAAATTAATCTCCATGCGAATTGGATAGATTCTTTTCATGAAATACGATCCCAACAAATATTTAAATTTGGGTAAACCAAAATGATAGCATACTTAACCTATATATGTAAGAAGGGTTGGTTATTTGAGATGAAAAAAAAAAAAAACACGCGTAATTTGGTTAATCTGCTTTAGTAATTGGAACTGTGGAAGTCCTAAATTGAATTATCCGTCATAGTATATTTAATCATATCTACGACGGTCCATTGTTCAAGATATAACCTTTAGTGACTTGACTTCTGTGGCGACTCTTGATAGTAGAGAAAAAATATAGTATGTTCATTGAACAGTCAAAATTTGATAATTACCTTCATGCATTCTAACAAGTCGATCACTGTGCAATTTGCAAGTAATTCACACGTGGAGACTGGATCAACTTTCATCACGTCAAAAGTTAACTCAAAACTGTTTCATTTAAATCGGGATTGATAAGTTTTTAGGACATCCTATGAACAAGCAAATTGATGTATCAAACGTCACTACGATGACATCAATTGCACACGTTTGTCTAAACTCATGAGACGGATATATGATATATCTAAATAGATGAGGCATATTTGATCAAGATATTCAATTAAAGAAAACCTACATAACTTGCTAAGCTTGAAAAAAATTGACGTTGTTTTCCAAATTTACGAATTCCATTTTAAACAGAAGAGAGAAGTTTCCATCATATGTTCCTTGTCAGCTTATTTTAAGCTTCATAAAAATGAGTTCATTTGTCTGTACGGTTAACATGAAGGATCCGAGGAGGTCAAACTAGGCGAAGTCAGAAAGTTATTTCTTTTGTCTTAAAAAAATATTTCACGTTATAATATTACGAAATTTTTTAATATGATTCTTTTTTTAGGGCAGAAATAGTAATGAATGGGCAAAACTTCAATCTTTTCTCCTCAAATTTTGTCAAAAATCATGAAATACCGCAAATGAACCCAAATCGTACATACACTAATTCTCATTGGATCAGAAACCTTTTGAGACAAAAAAAAAGACCGACAAACTTGTTTCTAATGAATATATAACTATAATCGGATTTATATAGTTAATTTATCAAACCATGCAACAATGTTTGTTTATGTATCTGACGAAAGATTGTGCGGCTGACAATTTTACCATAATTTTATTTTCCAAAGAGGACGAATGAAAAGACTTCTCCAAGTTTCCCCATTTCAATAGCCTCCATTTCACCAAATCCATTTAGACTAAAACTATAAATAAAGTCAAAAGGCGTCAACTACCTATTTATCTCATTTTGGAGTCCACTTTCAAATCTCATGCACGCATTAATTGGAAACTATAATGTCCAAAGGATCGTGCTGCCCATTTCACATTCATGATCGAGAACCATACAGCAAGATGATTTTTCGAAACATTGAAATTACATGTAGAATCAAACGGATATAAAAGAAAATACACCGTCTGTCTCATAAAAAATAATCCACATTATAATTTGTGAATTATATATTTTTTTAGTACAGTAAACATTGTAAAATCATCAAGTGAATTGGTTCCGCAACAAAAAATAAATAAATAAATAAAACATTAATCAATGTGACAATATTCATTTAATGTTTTCCACATATCCCTCAATTTTTTTGAGGACATATCCCTCGGTTAGTAAGTACAGAGTACTTAAAACTAAAATGGGAGTGTTCATTTGTCTCTTATTTATAAAATATCAAACATGTATATTCGATCAGTATAAATTATACTGTTAATTTAGACATAAACTCAATCAGTATAAATCATTATGCCAACTAATTAAACAAGATTTTATCGCTTTAGTCATAGATTGATACACAATATTAAGCATTTAGTATCTCTTTAGAAGCTAGAGAGTCAACCATTTTGTACGTAAAATAAATGCATGTATGTACCATGCAGAGGACGTAGTTGTACTTCGGAAAGCCTTGGAATCGTAGAGGAGGCACAACCCTATGTTTAGGGAATGGGTTTTACCAGTTTATCTCTTCATCATCATTGTTCTGAACTATTCCCCATTCCTCCAATCGATTTCTATCCCTCCCAGAAATAGATTTTGCTTGCAATTCACAGGAGCCATTGATTTTCCTTGACCACGAATGGAGACTGCAAAATGTCACATGGAGACCATCGAACTCCACTCGCTAAATCCATCTATCCCTATGTTACAATGCGTTATGTAGATGGGGGAGGATTTTTCTAGCCACCAATTTCGATTCTTTCAGTCACTACTTTTTTATTTTGACCATTTTGCCTCTGTCATTTGACCAAACTAAATTGAAGGAGAGAGAGAGGGGAGAGAGAATGTGCCACTCAAATGCATGTGGAGAAAATCAAAAAATAGGACCAAACCGGACAAGTTATCCGGTTCGATTGGTGATACTTAACATAACTCAAATAACAAATTATTCATAAATTTAATGAATAAAGATTTTAATGACCTAAAAACTAGATTAACTAATTAAAATAACAAAAAATCTAATTTTTACATGTAATAGCAATGAATCCGATTGATATTTTTTTTAATATTTAGACTTTTTTAAATAAAAAATATTGTTATTTTTTAATTACAACAAAAATAACCAGAAAAAAATCTTAAAATTAGCAATGAATCCGATTGATATTTTTTCAAAAAAAATGTTAGACTTTTTTAAAATAACAAATATTGATATTTTTTAATTACAAAAAAAAACCAAAAAAAAAAATCTAAATTAAAAAAATAGCAATGAATCCGATTGATATTTTTTTTTTAATTTTTAGACTTTTTTAAATAAAAAATATTACTTTTTTTTAATTACAAAAAATAGCAATGAATCCGATTGATTTTTTTTAATTTTAAGACTTTTTTAAATAAAAAATATTGCTATTTTTTTTAATTACAAAAAAATGACAAAAAAACAAAAAAAATTCTTAAAATTTTTTTAAAAAAATGGGCCTGACCGGACCTGTTCACCATATCGGACCGAACCGAGACTGACCGGGCAATGAAACCATTCTGAATTAACCCGAGACGGGCAATTAACCCGCCCACTTGTTCACTCGAACGGGTTCATTGCCTGTCCCGGGTCAACTTGGGACAGGTGGTCCCGTCCCGGGGGTTCATTGTCCGTCCCGGGTTAACCCATTCGGGCGAACAAGTGGGCGGATTCATTGTGCGTCCGAAGTTGACTCGGGACATGTAGACTGCCCGGTTGGCCGATTTTTTTTTTTTAAATTTTAAATTTTTTTTTAATTTTCTCCCTAGTCAAGATATTTAATTTAAAAAAATGACAGGGGTAAAATTGTCCAAATTTAAAATTTGTGGCTGAAAAAACTAAAGTTGGTGGCTGCAAAAACTAACACCACTAGTTTGAAATAATTGTATTATTCCATCCAGTCATCCTATTTTCATAGTTTTGTTAAGTTACATAATTTTGTGAAATAGATTTGTTTTGGTTATAGTACATTTATAGGGTATTCACCTTTGACTATATATAATGACTAAAATGGATAGGATGCAATAATATTTAAATTAATTCCTCTAAAATCGATTAATTTATTTAGCCCGTGGTTAAGTTTTGTCGCTATTAATTTCATGGAAAATTCTTCGACAACATGTAAAATAATGTAATGTACGTAACTAATTGTTAACATATTATGTATCATTGGCCTAGAGAAGTTTTTCTTTTAAGGGAGCTTTTTTTTTTAAAAAAAAAAAAAAGTCAAGATGTACCTGCTAATTCAGTAAAAAGTGAAATATTTTCAAAGTAATGTTTAAGACTTACCCTGTACAATTGAGAAACCGTTATCCTATGATGATGTTTTAAATATCAGTTAAAACTAATATTTTTTAAAGTAAACTTCATCGGGAATTACTTCTAGTAATACGCTTGGCATAGACAAAAACGACAGCAACGCGATGGAAGACAATTATTATTTTTCCTATCTTTTTGGATCACTGCTCTGGACTGTCGCATTTGGTGGGCATATTGAGAATCCCAAACAGTGAGTGATATACAGGAAATTTGAAATTACCACATCCAAGTTGTTCCTGCAAGTTAGTCAACAACAACAAAGCATAATATAACTAAGAATGACCCGATTTGGTTTGTTTGTGACCATCACAACCGGATAAATGGACCGGAGGATCCAATACCTAGTTTTTGAAAACTTGGATCCTGGTGAACCAGTTTTTTAGTTTTGACCGGCGGACCGATTTTGATATA